ACTGCTAGCCATCATCATCTCCTGGGTGCTCAGCAGAAGATGCTGCATTACGATTGCTAGCCATCTTCATCTCCTGGCTGCTCGCCAGAAGACGGTGCAGTAGGACTGCTAGCCATCGTCATCTCCTGGATGATCGGCAGAAGATGGGAATGACCTGGCTGAGTCACTCACATGTTTGCCCAGGCGCCCCTGACCGACCTCATCGAGGTTGGCTAAAAGAGCACCCAGGAATATGACGATGACAGCTACCAATCGTAATGCACTGTCTGCTACCAAAAGGCAATGAGCTGCTGCTGTGTAGCAATGCAGTCCCACATCTGCCAACACCCAGGAGACGTATGGTGACGGTGAGCTGAGCAGGCTCCATGCTTGCCATGGTATGGCATCTGCACAGGTAACCCAGGAAAAAAGGTGCAAAACGATTGTCTGTCGTTGCTTTCACGGCAGAGGGGAGTGAGGGGCGGCCTGACAACGAATCACCCGTGACGCTGTTTTTGCCCCATCAAGCATTGGGATCTCAACCCAGAATTCCAATGGGTGGCAGAGACTGCGGAAACTGTGGGATAGCTACCAACAGTGCAACGCTCCGGAAGTTGATGCTAGCCTCAGTACTGTGGACGCAGTCCGCTGACTTAATGCACTTAGAGCATTTTGTGTGGGGACACACAAAATCAACTGTATAAAAACTATTTCTAAAAAACCGACTGCTATAAATTCGACCTAATTTCGTAGTGTAGACATACCCATAGAGTTGAGCCACTGAGGAAAAGCTACTCTCTGGAAACCCTCCAGTTCAACCCTAACTCATCCCACTACCTGTTCCATTCCTAACTCCAACTCCGGACAGGGTTCTGTGCCATACAGAAGGAATAGTTTCTGCCTCCTAAAACCTGCACTCACCAGAGGAACAACACTATTTCAACTGTCAGAACCACTCTGCTGCTACAGAAAGGGATGTCCCCCCATTGAGCAAAATGAAGGGGCCACATGATGGCAGAATGACACTAAAAACCAGAAGGAGTCGCTCCATTGTATAATGACTGAAGCCTCTTCCTCTTGGTTTTACAGAGACTTTGTAAAGTCAATTTAGAAGCAAATTTTAGTTTTGCAAAAGCAAGGTTTTAGAATACCTAGCAGCATCAATAGAAATATCCTTGTGTCTGTGTATTTATTTCAAAGGAGACAGGTTGCTGAGATTTTCAGAGAAGTGGATTTCACCAAACATCTTCAGTTGAAATGAACAGAAGATGTGCGTCCCAAATACACTGCTTTGAAAATCTCAAACATTATTTTGAAAGGATTAATATTCCCCTGCAGAGTTTGCAAACAAGCTGTTCAGCACCTGCTTGTGCAGGAGAACCAGAAAGGGAAGCTGACTGGAGAAAAAGTAAAAACAACTTCTCTATTTCTCTTCTTCAAGCAGCATGAAATGCAGAGAACAAACAAGGAGTATAAATGATAAATTAATTTGGTTTGTACATTTTCTGTGTTAGTAATCCAACCCCGTAGCTCCCAGCTTTATTTTGTTGAAACCCCTGTTGCGATGCATCAGCAGATCCCCTTCCATGAGTCCTCCCACCATGCCCCAAAACTGTTGCCATTAGTATGTCCTTACTTCTGTCCATTGATTTCTTCTCTGCTATCCTTTCAGCCAGTTCCTCCCCCCCTGCTCCAGTCTTGTTTTTTCCCTCTTTGGCTCTCTCTTTTTTGCTGCACATCCCTGCAAGCTCCTCCTCTCCTCTCCCACACTAATCACAGACCACATCCTGCCTGAACTGAACTGCACATGTTGTTATGGCTGAGTTGAGTACCACAGCAGCAGGCAGGAGAAACATGGATCAGTGGACTACTGACTGAACCTGTAACCCTGTATATGTCCGCTGCTCCCAGAACTGGTTGCAGTAAGGAGCAATCATAGAAGAAAGAGGGAAAGGTGAGAGGGAGAGTTTTACCTGCATGGTTGCAGAGGGCAATGTAGATCCAGGTCAGGTAGCTTTCTCTCTCTGCCCACAGGGTTTCTTGTTCTCTCACTCATACCTGCCTGGAACCCACCCCTGAAGTTTTGAGACACTGGTCTAATGTTATTATTTAGTAACATGGATATGGATATTATTTTAGAAAGATATAATTTTTGCCCTGACAATGTCCCTTTATTCACCTTTAGGGAAAAAACTGTTTTCAAAAGCAAAAGTCAAGTAATCAGCTGTTGTTTGTATGGGCTGGATCACACAAGGTTTTACAAGAGAAACATTTTTATTAAAATCATATATAAATTGTTTCTCTGACTTACCGTATGATTGTTCATTTCCTGTAAGATTCATTTTGTTACAGGTTTGCTATTATAGAAGAAAAATATCTTTTGTGGGGGAGAGGGTTACAAAACGAAATGATTTCTTCTCCACCGCATATGGCTAAATATTGACTAGATAGGTAAACGGACATCAAGAAAAGGAATTTTAAAAACAACTTTTAAGAAATACCTTAAATGTTTTAACCATCTCCTCCCAGTGAACAGGAATCTTATCTCTAGCTGCCATTTTAATTATATTTCACAGCAGGTGGCCAACTGGGTGACACAAAGTGGGACTAAAAGAGTCTTTTTTGCCATTAGAGAGCATTGGAAATCAAAGTTGTAAAGTTTTAAGGTTCTATAATATGTTAAAAACACTTTTGGCTATATTGGCAGCAAATGCTAATTTAGCCCTTGATCCAGCAAAGACTTATGCATTTACTTACTGTTACACACTGGGCATTGTCCTACTGAAATCAATGGGTTTTAAGATCTTGCAGGATTGGGGCCTTAAATGTTGTACTATTTGTTCCTCATCTTTGGCCCATAGAAGTCATTGGGAGTTTGCCACTGACAGTTCAATGGCACCAGCATTTGGCAATATGGGCCTGGGCAAAAGCCCATTGAAGCCATTGCAGACTCCTATTGACGTCAATGGATTTTGGATCAGGCCATATATTCTGAGTGATGGCTTGAG